ACCGTCCAAATTCACTGCCTCTTTTTTTCTGGTCTTCCCGGTCTACCAAGGGCCCGGCCCACCTCGACCGGGTAGTCTGGGTCCTTCGGAGGACCCGGCCTGTCATTTTGGACACAGCTCCTGTTTGTCCACTAGGCACTTCCTGTTTGTCCACCAGGCACTTCCTGTTTGTCCACCAGGCACTTCCTGTTTGTCCAAAGAACATGTAATCTATCAATGTTCTTTTGAATCATTAAAAAAGGACAGTATTTGTAAAAACAGCAGAAGAACAGATTGTTCAGTGCAGAAATGAAATTCAGAAGTTATGGGATAAAGGTTTCGTTCAGACTGCAGGTTTACTCGTGGTTCCCAGAGACTGAGGGGCGGAGCTTCCAGTTCTCAAACCAACGTGAAGGCTAGGCTTAAAGAGATAGTCTGGTCATTTCTGAAGTCATGTTCTGTCAAATAGTTCTCAGAACCTCATCAGTCATAGAGCACAGACATGTAGGAGTGCAAAAGTCTTCATCCAGGCTAGGCTAACGTCTAAGCATAGCAATAACAAACAACTGAACAAAAAGTGAAACGTAAACGTGAAGAGGTTTATTATTAGTTAATTAAATGTTCTTTCACAAGGTTGTTTTAAAAAAATTGTATTATAAACTTGAAAAACAAAAAACAATGAACCCTTGCTTGTTTGGCTAGCTGTTAGCCTAGCCTGGACAAAGACTTGTGCCTCTTTTCTCCACCCTCCATGCTTTAAGGCTGATTTGAACATCTCTGTAAGGCCTGGTTCTGGTTCAGATGGAGGTTTCTTCCTGTTAAAAGGGAGTTATTTTGTTCCACTGTCACCAACCTGCTGCTCAGAGTGATAAATGTGATGAAGGGAAGGTTTGACACAATCTCCTTTAAATAACTTGGACTAACAGTCATTTTATGATGAAAGTGAATGTTTTGTGTTGGACTTGGTTTAGAAACCAGTTTGAATGGACTTGTTTCTGCTGTGAGACAACTTATGTTTTGTTATTTAAACAAACTGAATTTAATTCTAATGAATTCCTTGATAAAACCAGTTTTCTTCAAATAGAAAACAAGCAGCCACAGGCAGTGATTCCTGCCTGCAGGAGGCTCTGCACCCACACAGCAAATTCCAGCCCGCCTCATTCAGCTCTGACATGCATGGACCTCTCTGACCCCCCCACAGTCCCAAACATCACAAACTCTTTGAAAGCACAGATTTACTCACATGTTCGGCTGCCTGTGGGTCGAGCTGGCCCTGCAGCGGAGGCACAGCAAACTGGATCTTTTTCGGACTGCCGGGCTCCATTATGACTGAGCGAGACGCAGAAAGACGGACGTAAAGAGAAAGTGTGTTTGTGTGAAGGAGGAGAGGGAAGAGGAGGGAGGGAGGGAGGGAAGGAGTGGTCTGTTCTCAGCCGATGGGGTCCATTATCACTAATTGACAGAGTCAGAGAGACGAGAACAGCAGCCAGAGCTCTGCAGCATCTGATGTGCTGTGAAATCACGATTTCTCTGCTCAGTCTGGTGATGTTTTTCTCTTCCTGAATTTCAACTCTTCTCTGATTCTCACATGACCTCCTGCATCATTTCTGTTTCCTCAGGTGAGCAGTGGACTGAACCACTGCAGCCTGATGGACAGGTCACAGGTTCTAAAGACAGAACTGCATCAATTTAATGCTTTCTGGTTTTAGATTGCTTTGAGATATTTTCCCAAATGATTTGTTGGATGATCAATCCCCATTTTTATCAAATATGAGATGAGTTCCAGACCTGGAAATTGTTGAAATCATTAATCAAATAATCTACTAATGTAGTGAGACGATAGCACTTAGTAAGGTTCTTGAAATAAGGAAAGTTTTAGTTAAGTGTCCTGATGCATCTCAGTAATCCAGGTAAAAAATCAAAAAGAAAACAACTGTATAGGTCTTCTGGACGGGTTCTTCTCTAATGAAACGTTTCGTCTCTCCTCCAGTGGGTGGACTCCCACCACGGGAACACAAGCTAGGAGTGATCAGGACTCTGTACCACAGAGCAGACAGTGTCCCTACAAACCCAGGAGCCAGGCAGAAAGAGAAATCACACACACGACAGGCCCTGGAGCAGTGTGNTTTTGTAAATCCAGTTTGTTCATACCGTTGAGGTTTCAGAGCTATAAATCTGGTCTGGTTCGTGCGTAATATACACGTAAAGGTAACCAGTGAGCTCCATGACAAAAAGCTTTAAGGTCGCAACTTAGAAGCTTGTCAACACGGTTATAAGTAAATATAACGTGTAGGGAGTTAACACCGTTGGAGGCTAAGAAACTGTGTGTTCTGTGGCCGAGGTGTGTGTTATTACAGACAAGAGAGTCTGTCCACACTGCTGTGTGTGGGATAGCACTGCTGAGTGCTAACAGGGAAGCTTAGCTGATTTATTCAGTATTAAATCTGCCGCGAGCAGNTAAAATTATTGCTGATGTAATATTTTCCCTATAATTACTACAAAATCACAAAAAAGTATAAATAAGTATTTATATTCGTGAACAAACTGTTTAGATTGTCAAAAAGCCTGTGTTTTTAGGGTTATTAACGAAGTTTGTGTACTCAGACCAGTAATATTTGGGGTCACAAGTTTTTGCCATGAATATTTTGTGGGTCAGAAGATAAAAAGTTTGAGAACCACTGCTTTAAATGGTAAATGGTACTGAACTTATAGAGCACTTTTCAAGTCTCTCCGGACCCCAAAGCGCTTTACACTAACAGACATTCACCCATTCACACTATGAGATCACACTATGTGTTAAACTTATCAAATCTGTCATAGAACTGATTGAATTCATATGTGGAATTAGGGAAAGGATCTTAGATACAACCCCAATTATAATCAAGTTGGGACATTAAGTTAAACATAAATAACATAATACAATGGTTTACAAATCCCTTTCACCCTATATTCAATTAAACACACAATAAAGTCCTGATAGAGTTTTTCTTGTTTGCTTTGACCTGCTTAAAGGAACTGGGTTCTACTCCGTTTTCATCATCTCTAATTCAGCAGAGCAGAAGTCACCGCTTGTAAATGTGTTAACCATTTCTAATTCAATTGAGACATTTTGTTCACTCTTTTCCAAAACAGTTACCACAGACGTCATTCAAGCTGTTCAAACTCCATTGTTTTATCTCTGGTGATCAAACAGAAATCACCTGTTTCTGACTAGTAGAAACTACCTACCTCAGTATGAAATCACTGAAGCGTCTGCAGGCTTTATAAGGTGCAATACCTGTGTTGTTCTTTACCAGCATGGATGGAGGAGGTTCAAGACAGAAGAGTTAGTGGGTCAAGAGTGGGTATTTCTTATACTCCAATCGATTTTTTTGGGGTTTATATTCACTGTAATATCTGTAATATTTACAGTATTTCACTTTTCAGCCACAGTTTAAAAAAATGTAATGGAATCAATAAAAATCGCATCAAAGTATTTTGATTCTGGATCTAATTCTTTGCAAGAAGGAACATTTGACACAGTCTGAGTAGAAAGATAACAAATGGCATGAAAGGGATGCAGTAGTCTACAGGAGAGGCGATTTCTCTAAGACTGCAAGGGAAGCTCAGCTCCCCCTAAAATGTAAAAAGAAGATCAAATATACACTATTGTGTGTTCATGTCATTGACTAAATATGCGCTACAACGCGCTCAACTTTTGTTCAGAATCAGCTTCTTATCACTGGTAACGACGCAGCTTTCCTCATTTCCTCATTTCACTCATTCCTGCAGCTTCACAGTCGGACGCTGAGCTTCCACAGAGCTCATTAGCGATGCAAAGACTGCAGCTAAACGAGACGAGTCATTGGATAAAGGCTGGCTTTGTCCCGCCCATCGGATGCTCAGCGTCTCTGGGGGTCTATGGGGCAGGGGGCTGGCTCGGACGCTCGTTGTCTGCATGATGATTGGATGATCTGTCAGAGGCTGAATCCCTTTTTGATTGACAGCAAAATGAGCGAATCAGAGATCTTTTTGTTGTAAACATGCATGGGAGCATTTTTTACTTTCGTTTCTGTTCGGAGTTGAACCGGAGACTTTATTAATCCTTTTAGCAGAATTTTCTTTGTTAAAAACGACTAGTGACAAATCAAACTTCTATTTCTGGTGGTTGTTTTGTATCTGCTTGTGTTTGGAGACAGGCTTCTATCACTCTTTCTGACTTCTATCACTCTTTATGACTTATATCACTCTTTATGATTTCTATCACTCTTTATGACTTCTATCACTCTTTCTGACTTCTATCACTCTTTATGATTTCTATCACTCTTTCTGACTTCTATCACTCTATGACCTCTATCACTCTTTATGACTTCTATCACTCTATGACTTCTATCACTCTTTCTGACTTCTATCACTCTTTCTGACTTCTATCACTCTTTCTGACTTCTATCACTCTTTCTGACTTCTATCACTCTTTCTGAATTCTATCACTCTTTCTGACTTCTTCTGTCCAGCGGGGGCTGCTGAGCCCCTCCACCATCATAAAGCACTCACAGACGGACACACATCACTCTAGCCTAGCGCCAGTAACAAGCTGCACGGCAGAAAGTTTGAATGTTGTGGACCGGATTTTTCCGGATTAAGCAAATTTATTTTTGTTATTCTAATTTGTGCATTTTTATGGTCATTGGGAACACAGCTAGTGTGACTGTTTAGGCCTGTGTGTTCACTGCAACACATTTTAATAAATCTGGGACAAGGTCATGTTTCCAGGTCCAGAGAAGCCAGTGTTGTTGATATCTGGCTTTGTCTTTGATAAAGCTTTAATTTGTAGATGTAGAGAAGAACTGTGTTCACTGGCAAAATTTTGTTTGTTTGTTTTGTTTTCTTACACAACCAAAATTTTCACAACTCATAACGGAAAGCCACCTGGGGAATTTTTGTAAATAACATAAAGGATGAACAGTAGGGCAAGCTATACTTTATATTGTGTAGTTGTTCTGTCATAAGATTTCTCAGACTAGTTTATCTGGGTACACACAAAGTCATGGTGTTTAGTGTGTAACACAAACAACAATGCAAGAGTGGTACACAATTCAAGTAGGTCCTATGATCTCAGATAAATTTCATCTCATAGGAACCACATCTGGACCATATAAACCACACCTGGACCACAGGGACCACACCTGGACCACCAAGACTACACCTGGACCACAGAGACCACACCTGGAACATAGGAACCACAACTGGACCATAGAAACTACACCTGGACCATAGAAACCACACCTGGACCATAGGAACCACACCTGGACCATAGGAACCACACCTGGACCATAGGAACCACACCTGGACCATTTAAACTACACCTGGACCACAGAGACTAGACCTGGACTATAGGAACGACAACTGGACCATATAAACTACACCTGGACCACAGATACCACACCTAGAACATATGAATCACAACTGGACCATAGAAACTACAACTGGACCATAGGAACCACACCTGGACCATAGGAACCACACCTGGACCTTTTAAACCACACCTGGACCATATAAACTACATCTGGACCATATAAACCACACCTGGACCATCGGAACAACAAATGGACCATATAAACTACACCTGGACCATTTAAACTACACCTGGACCACAGTGACCACACCTGGACCATAGAAACTACAACTGGACCACAGAAACTACACCTGGACCATATAAACCATACCTGGACCATAGGAACAACAAATGGACCTTATAAACTACACCTGAACCATATAAACTACACCTGGACCACAGTGACCACATCTGGACCATAGAAACTGGATCACAGTGACCACACCTGGACCCTAGGAACCACAGCTGGACCATATAAACCACACCTGGACCACAGAGACCACATTGGGACCACAGAGACCACACCTGGACCATCGGAACCACACCTGGACCATAGAAACTACACCTGGACAATAGGAACCACACCTGGACCATAGGAACCACACCTGAACCATATAAACTACACCTGGTTGAAGTCCAGCCTAGTCCATGTTCTTGTTCTGGTTCTGTTGGAGGTTGTGCACAGAACTGGTTCTTGGAGGCCATGTGAGGACTGGCTGAGTATAGATCCACCTTAAAGCTGCTGTATGTAGTTTCTTGGGAACCCAAAAACTTAGAAAAATTTTGAACAGAAACAACCTTGTAGTCCCTCCCCCTGCTCTCAGCTC